TTTAATTACAATGTTTTCCATGATTTTTCTTATTGGCTTTATCAGTGAAATTGGTCGATAATTAGTTACATCAAATATATTTTTGGAATCTGTACAGGAACAGATCCAAAGGGGGGGGGGAATTGAGCCTACATACACAACAAATCCCTAAAAATAGGTTTTGTTATGTATAATATGTATATAATTTTAATACGTGTTTTGATGATTTTAGTATTTCGTCACAACTACAAGCACAACTAGAGTATTATAATTTATAATATTAATGTGACTAATATTTTATAGCCATCAAAAGCTATAACACATTAGTATATTATAGCTATATTTCGCTAAAAAGTAAAGACAATTTTGCACTCCCCTCCCGGCTCCCCGTTAAACATTTTTGGATCCGCTTCTGATTTGGTTTATTAATGCGATAACTGATAATTGTATAGTTGCGTTATGGGAACACGTCGTTGTTTTCGATCAAATTATAACTAATGAACTACAATATAAATAAATAAAATTTAATTTCATACAATTAAACTTCTATTAGGTACTTTAAAAATGAAAAGTAAAAGRCAGGCGTCCTAAGCGGCTCAGAGCAAGCATGTAGTTTTAATATACACCTAAGAATTTCCAAAGGGGAAGGGTTCATTGGTTATAAAAAGTAACCTTAAGAGAACGACATAACCGCATTTGTTGACTTGTTGACTGTTGTCTAATAGTTTTACGAACGCGTAACAGCAAATTTACGCTCGGCAGTTTAGGTACGTCTTATTAWGTTAGCTTAAAAATTAGGGTCAATAGACCTATCATAAAACTTGATGGTAAGAACATTATCTTTGTTTTGACGGAAGTTGTTTTTACGATAATTCAGTTTTTAAATGAGTTATGCGTGTAGGAATAATAAATTGTGAAATAAAAATGCTCATAACTAACTGAATTATCGTAAAAACAACTTCCAACAAAACACAGATTCTTACCATCAAATTTCATAGTAGGTCTATTCAATCTATTTTTAAGCTGTAATAAGACGTGAACTATTGACCGAAAATTTGCCATGTTACGCGTTAGTCAGACTAAGACAACTAAAGCGGGTGTGGCGCCTTCTTAATGAACAAAATATAAGATTATAATTATTATAATATACTTCTCAATATTTGTCAACCGAGTTTACTCAACTCACATAATATATTTTATTTTGAAAAATATTGTTAAAAAGTTTTTGCAATACATTTTTCACCATTTTACCATAGGTAGGTATACCTTTAATAGTTTAATAAATAAAAACGATTTGTATAGAGGTCAATATTACCTCTATAACATCACTGCAGCTGTTTTYAAGTTTGAAACAAAACAGAAAGCAAGTATTCGGAAGAAAAACTATTACATTTATTAAGAACACAAATAAAGTACAATATAGCGCAGCGGGTACAATAATTTCAAGTTATTCCCGCATCGTCTACATAACATTAAGTAGGTAACCTATATAGGTTATATCTATATATAACGGGTAACAGTAAGCGCCTATACCTATCTACATATTTGTCGTTTAATATATAGAAAAATGCTGTCACTCTTGACATTTTTCTGGTGCCTACACGTGTAACAAATGGGTATCTGTAAAACATGCACACAATATTATACCTCTTAAAAGCGAACGAAATAATATAATAATTTGTATAATGTAAATCAGTGTACAACAATCGCGGAAACAAGGTTTTCGACGTAAACACCGCGTGAAATAAAAACGAATAATTCTATTGTAATATGATGGACCGTCGCTGGTTTATTGGCCCTTCGCCGTGTCTTGTTGAATGTTCCACATTTCGGAATATTCGGAAGCGCCGTTGTCCATCAGCCACTGGTGACTTCCGCGTTCGACGACTTTCCCGTTGCGTAATATCAATATGTCATCCGCATCTTTGATGGTCGACAGCCGATGGGCGATGCACACGCTCGTCTTATCCTTGGTGGCTCGCCGCAACGCCTTCAGTATGTTCTATAGGCAATAAAACCGTTATGTATAATCATAAGACATAAGAATATTATRAATTATTATGACCGATTGCAGGTTGCAGGTGTATAACATACGCACTATTATATTAACGAGATGGAACCAAAATACAAATAAAAAAGCCGCACAAAATCAGAACCCTAACCCAATCATAATAGTATTACCCGATTATTTTAAAGTATTGGTCATGACCGGGGGTTTAAATTCATGGCGTACATGGATTTGCACATCAGTCTTGCTACGTTGTAGTCAATGCTAGAATGATAGATGATGGCGGGATATAAATCCATCGTAAGATACCAATGTAAACTGTACAGTTACATATCACATATCCAKAATTTTTTTTTTGCCTAWTTTTTGCATATTTATACGTTTATTGGGCATATTATCCATAATTTTGATGTWCTTATTGAAATTATATACCTACTTATTGACGTAAAATATATGAAAAATTGATGATAAATTTAATACCTAATTTATATTTTTTACTTACACTACGCAACCTAAAACAAATGAAACTATTAAATTACGAATAGATATTTCTTACTATTTCAAAAATACGATTTTTTTATTTTTTTGAATCCACATGTTTTTAGTGTATTATGTTTTAAGTTTTGGAATTTTAGTGTACCTATAGAATTGTATTTTTCTGAACTTTATAAGGGAAATTTCAATGCTTAATATTTTGTCAGTTTTTAGCGCAAAAGTGCCTGCTTTACTTAGGCATTTTTTGGACACGAAATTGTGTTAATAATACTCATGTCCATTTTTACTAAAGATTACTTTATCGCTCAAAGGCATAGCAGGTAATTTTAATTATTATTATACTGATAGGTATATTGTAAAAGTATATAATTTGTTTTATAACATATACAATTATATAAGCTATAACTACTAATTAGAGATTACTAAGTAGTTATAGCTACATAAACACTTATAATAGGTAATAAGAAATTGATTAGTTATAGTATGGTATTATATTCCTATATTCGTATGTTATATACTGTGTGAATTTATAAATTAATTTTATTCATCAATAAACGATGGCAGCAGAAGAGTATAGTATTGTTCAAACAGAACCTACTCTACTGTCGGTGGAAAAACAGATAAAAAAAAACTAATTTGAAATTGATTTGTTATATAATTGTTCGGTTGTTTTAGTATATATAATGTTATACATCATACACTTAAACTGCATAAAAAACTATGCTATGTATGGGTGATGGGATGTAAAATATTATAAAWACATAAGAACTTTTATACTTTATTATTAAAATGTATATCTACTTAAGTTATACGATCCCAATATTCAACAGTTAATGCAATCATGATAATATATTATAAAGCGTTGTTTGTGTGGCGGTTTAACATAGTCCATTCGATTTTGTAACAGATACAGCCGGAAATTATTAAAAAATAAATGATGTCTTAGGTGCCTCATGCATACGATATCATTAATATTTATATTATTCTTTCGGCTGTACCTACCTTCTGTTCAACATTTCGAATCACATTTATGACTTATATACCTATAAGTTATTACTCACTGCACTCTTTTTAAGGTTAACGAGAAATTGTACTATATTTTTTATAATACCTATACCATATATCTATTTTATCGTCGCGTCTTTCAACCGAGTTGAATCGTATACGTGTATATCTGGTAACAGTTGTGAACGTACCTATATATATAGTACCTAAGTATTTAAATAAAATTATACATTTAGAGTTTGCTCTAAACTTAACTGCCTGCAGACAAAAATTATTATACAGGGAATTGGTATTATAGCATAATATGCGCGTTGCCATATAAATATTAAAATATATAATTACGTCATACTTATGTACGCAATGTTTTTTTTGCAAATTCATGTCATYTGTTAGAAATAAAATTATTTATTTTAATTGGTGACTGAATAAAAAACGTAACTTACAGAATGACAGTCGACAGAACGTACTAAGTAATACAGTTAGTTAAAATATTCCTAATATGGACAACACTTAGAGTCATAATAATAATGACTAGAATATTTGAAAAATCTTGAATAATTCCGTTTTTTTTCATTCAATCTTAATTAAAAGTTATAAATAAATAATTAAAGTGATAAAAACAAAAAATCTGACTGATCATTGCGAACAATATTAAGAAAAAGAAAGAAAAAGACTTGATAAGCTTTCAAATCATAAAACATATCAAAGACAAAAGCCAAGCAATAATATACTTGTACTCCRAAAAATATTWAAAAAAAATTTTTATCGATAATATGCCTATTTGAAAATATAAATTTTAAATACTAACATTATTAGCAAAATTAACAAGGTAAGATATTAATATCTTAATTCTTGAATAAATATTACAATCTTAGAAGTGATAGATATATTTTTAACAGTGGTTAAAATATTATCACCATCAAGTTATGCCAACAAAGATTAAAGTAATATAATATTTTTATTATTTATTTATATTTATTAATAATTACATTTATGGTGCGACCTGTGAGGAAAAATAAGGCCACCAGTGTATATCCTATAATATCCCAAATRATACTTCTGCACTAATAACACTTGAACACTAATCACTATACACATACCTGTTCAGTAATTGAGTCCAATGATGACGTGGCCTCATCAAATATCAGAATAGGACTGTCCTTGAGTATMGCCCTAGCAATGGACACTCGTTGCTTTTCACCGCCAGATATCATTAGGCCCCGTTCGCCCACTTGTGTCAAATACCCGTTGGGTAGCTTTAACACAGAGTTGTGAAGTTCTGCAAGTTTGGCCGCCTCAATGACTTCAGACTCAGACTTGCTCATGTCACCATAGTGAAGGTTGTACATGATCGTGTCATGGAACAAAACTGAATCCTATWCAAACAAATAAAACAGTATAATTATATAATATGAGATCACRTCCCACCCAAAAGATAATCTGYATAATTTATTAATTTACCCACCCTGATACATAAAATAAATAAATGTAAATTTTTATTTAAAAAATATTTTAATGTAAAAAATATGCATAAATAAGCTTTCTTAAAATTATACATCTGATCTCTACCTAATCCGTAAAGGATGTTAAATATTGCAATAATTAAATATACCTGAGGAACTACAGCCATGCACTTCCGAAGACTATCAATATCAATGTCCTTGATATTTTTGCCTCCAATGAGAATCTCACCTGAAGTCGGTTCAAAAAACCTGAACAGCAATCTGATTATTGTGGATTTCCTGAAAAGTCCATGTATCACATCATTAAATTTTTATCATTAGTTTTGAAGTTTTGTGACATAATAAAATTAAAAAATATTATGTATGTGATATTATATAATTATATATTTTAAAAAAATCAGGGGGATCATAAATAGAAAAATAAAAATGTTTTAAGCTAATTTTAAACCAATATTGCAAAATGTAATCAATTATAAATATATAAAYACAGTATAAAAACAAATTTATACATTAATTTTTTTTTTTAATTTATCATAAGATAGGTATTTAGATATTAGATACAATTCTATTTCTAAAAATGGGTGATTTTGCAATATAAAAATTTTGAAATGTTCATGTTTACATATTATGATCAGTTTTAATTTTCAATACATATTTAGCAGTTTTTCTTATAGTACATTAAAATTCACAGGCCTGATCATTTTAAATTTATTTAGTAACATATAATGAATATATTMATTTTGTTCAAATTTAGTACAGATTGTATATATATATATTTTATAAAAATAAAATATTAATTTTGTTATTAAAAAACAGGACTAGAATGTTTGTACATCTCTGGGTCACAAAATATTTCATGGCCATTTAAAGGCTTAAAGTGAAATTTTTAGAATTTTAAGTAATATAATTTTAAACTATAAAACATTGTCTAAAATATTATTTTTAATATAACACAATTTCTGTCAACAAAGATTTAAAAAAAAATCAAGTCAAGTACCCATGTCTATATTTAAGGATGARTATGAAAAATTAAGTTTTATTTTTATATTCTAGTACCTATAATTTAAAAAAAATGTAAATGTGTAATAGCACAGATTAATTTTTATTGAATCTGTGGTTATAGTATATTTTACGAAAACTTCCATGTTTTTGAACAGACAAGATTTCAGACAGAATTCGTCTGATTTGCTTACCCACTACCGGAACCTCCAACTATTGCGACTTTCTTGCCAGGTGGAACAACAAAGGACAGGTCATCCAAAATAGGTTTACCGTTCTGATATGCAAAATTGACGTTTCGGAATTCGATGGATGCATTTTCTTTACTAATAGACAACGGGATGGCATCCGTTCGATTCTGGTGAAAATTGACAAAAATATGAAAATAAATAAAAAAAACTAAGCAAAACTTATATATTTGAATAGTTAAATACTGAGCCAGTTTTACTACCAGAGCAAATGGTGCATTGCAGAGTCAGTGGTTTTTAAATAGTAGGGCACTGATATTATGGATATTAAAGTATTATAAGCAAAAATTATATGTATATACATATATTTATTTAACATTTTATGTTATATTATAATTAATAATAAAATAAATGTGTTTTTTTTTACAGCTGAATGGCGTTTTTTAAGAAACCCAAAAATTTACTTTTACACTAGGGCCTTCAAATAACAAAATTTATGTGATGAAAAATGTGATTTGCATACCAATTAAAGGGAAATAATTATTCAAAAGTAATAAATATATAAAAATATATTGCCTAAMAAAACTATTACATTGATCATTTTAGAGTGAACACTACATTGTTAAAATATTTGGTACTTTTCTGTTATCCATATTACCTCCCAAAGCTGCGACTACTCAATTCTGTTATCTCGACTACTATAGTAGGTACTATCCCCAAAACTACCAGCCAGACAATATAGTTTCATCGTTTCATACATAATAGACATAAATATTGGTTTTAGATATTATTATAGACTGACACTTCTAGAAGTTGCACTTCCAAACATTTCAATTTTGCCGATGTATATTTTTTTTTTAGACCGTTTTTGCATCCACGATGTCTCGGAAGTAAACCCTCTTCTTAAAAAAAAACAAGKGCATCTTTTTCACTGTTCGCTAAAACTCCAAGGATCCATAATTATTTTTAAATGAATAAAAACAACAACGGATAGGAACAGGTAATTGTGTGAATCGGCGTGGTAGTCGAGATAAAAGAATTGAGATTCACAGTAGTAGGAATAACAGAAAAGWACCAAATATTTATGTATTTTTGAAAAAAAATGTAAATAATTTATTTTAGGTTATTATTTCAAAAAACCTATAATTTTCGTTTTCTTTAAAATGTCGTGGGAAAAATATCAAAACTACCAGAATAATATTATATAAATGTTAAACGRTTATTAATAAAAAAAAATCTTTAATCTCATGTTTAGACTTAGACAAACATTTTTAAAATAGTATTATGTTTTAGCTTATGAAATACATAAAAAGGAAATTATAAAAATGAGATTTCTTTAAAAAAAAATAAGTTTCTTAACACGTTGACTGTCATGCAGCCGCCGGCGGCCTCAAGAATATTTATCATGGGTACGCCAAAGACAGTTTTCTGTATCATTATAAATTTGTATTTGTATATATACTATTGGATTTGAAAAAAAAAATTAAAAATTAATGTTTATTGCATAAAAAAAATTGCAATTATTCCCACTAAGCCACAGCATATTTCAAGATCATTATTGTAGCGCCACGGTAAAGTTAATAATATAAATCCAAATTAATTAATGGYAGCCCGCGGCTGTATGGCCTCCTACGAATGATATGGTGCGGCAGCCGGCGGTCTAAAACTTTCAATAAGTGTTCAATAAAGAATTGATTTATATAGTAAATGTATACCTTAACAGATGGATCGCATGCCATTATCGCAAACATGGACTGCATGTCGAGTAACGCCTGTCGCACTTCACGGTAAACAGATCCTAGGAACCCGAGTGGCATGGCCAGCTGGAAAAGGAGACCATTCACCATTACCAAGTCACCAATTGTCATGTTACCTAATGGATTATTTATATATAATTATATTTGGTTGCTTAAAATATTATTGTTTGATGTTTGATTATACATATAGCCAATAAAATTCGAATCCAGTTATATTACCTTCGACTATTTGTTTTGCGGCTAATATCATTGCTGTGCTCATTGTTATGCTAAATATGGCATTTTGACCAAAATTCAAAAGTGCCAGACTTGAGCTAGTCTTAAGTGAAGCCATCTCAAAGTTTTGTAAGACACGGTCGTATCTGTTTGCTTCGTACAGTTCATTATTGAAATACTACAATTGAAGAAAAKAAAATAATTTAATGTTTCAAGTTTTTTAAAGCTGAAATAAATAAAAAAGGGTAAAATTTAGAACACATGATACATCAMAATTTTACAATTTTACATTATTTTGTTCAAACATAACGTATACTTCAAACTTTCATCTTGGGCACTTTTTGAAAATCTTATTGAATGACTAAATACACTTTTAATAATTAAAAGTGAATRAAAAATTTTTTCTGAAATTTTGATTCATTAATTACTCATAAGTATTAAGTGTAAAGTTAAAGGTTAGATGAAAAGTTGCAAAAGATTATTCAGAATAATGTCAGTCAACTATTCTACACTTCTAGAAGATGATTAAATGTTATACAACAATTAAGAAATTTAAGAATATTTGACTGATAACCACTACAAAAAAAATGTTGGATGCAATATTGGTACATGATTCACATCATTACCTGAAAATATTTTTATTTATTTAGTCCTTATTAAGTTAAAATAATTAATAATTTATCAACATATTAATATTTTATACACGCATACCTTAACAGTTTCATAATTTATTAACGAGTCCATAGCTTTATTTCCAGCTTCATTTTCAGCTTGATTCATATAAATTCGGAATTTCGTCCTCCACTGGGTTACTAATAATGTATACACTGTATAAATAGAGACACAACCAAAGGATAAAGCAGCAAATTGATAACCACAATTTAATCCCTAAACAACATCAAATAACTATACATTTTTTTTAAGATTATGATTATAGGAACTTACCAATATAGTGCTAACTAGTGTCAATTCAAATAAAGTAGGTACAATATTAAATACCATAGCAGTAAGTACAAAGTTTATTCCCCTGCTTCCACGATCTATTACCTAGAAAACCATAAATTAATAATTTAAAATAACTTTGATAAGTGAATGATAAAATCTAATTGGTAAAGTCACTACTGATGGATGTTTGATAATTTCTTAAGATTTCATAAATAATAGAAGCCACAAAAAACTGACAAAAAAAAGTAAGCCTTAAAAAAATTCTGGTTTTTACACTTGATTAAGTACTATAACTTATAGTCTATAAGATTTATTAAACCACACCTTAGCTAATGCACCAGTTTGTCTGGATAAATGAAAACTTAGATCTAAACTGTGAAGATGTAAGAAAACATTTCTGGCAATTTTTCTAATGGATTGTTGAGCCACACTAGCAAATACAGCATTACGTAGTTCATTCATACCAGCAGCAGCTGCTCTACAAACGCCATCTGAAAATATGACATATCTGTTTTTTATTTATTCAATTAAGCATTATTTTTATAAGACATTTATTCTGATMTTTTTCCTATTTATATTTTTAGATTTGTGTTCATGATCAATAATCTTTATAGAATCCCAATCTGGTTAAAAGGTAAATTTTATAAGACAGAAGTAAGGTTGGTGATAATGTATGGATTGGAATGTTGGGCTATAGATAAAACAATATATAGGAAAATGAGTGTTGCGGAGATGAGAATGTTAAGATGGATGAGTGGAGTGACAAGAGAGGGCAGAATAAGAAATGAGAATATTAAAGGTAGTATAGGAGTGGTTCCAATAGTTGACAAATTGTGTGAGAATAGGTTGAGATGGCTAGGGCATGTTTTAAGAAGAGAAAAACTGAGGTAGTTTCAGTGACAAAGAACATGAGTATGGATAGAAAAAGAGTAAGAGGAAGGCCAAAATAGAAATGGTTTGAAGTTATAGAGTGCGATATGAGAATGACTGGTGTTTATGAGGAGGATGTTAATGATTGTAGTAAGTGGAAATTGAGGACCAGGATGGTCGACCCCAAATAGTTGGGAGAGCCCAAAGAAAAGAAGAAAAAGAATCAATAATCTTTATATAATTATAAGTTATCTTTAAAATAGTCATTAAAAATATGCACATTTTTGTATATTTAAAATTGAATATAATATATTAAACAGTGCTGGACTACCAGAGTTGGGATATAAAATAAGTAAGTATAGTATATAAAACTGGAAATTAACAAACTATAATGACTTATGTATTAACTTTAAAATTAATCTGAATAACTACAATTTGAGTACTAATTCTGMTCTTACTATTTCAAACTTACTCATACTCACACGATATCAACAGAGTCGCTGCAACAGTTGACACAGTTTCGGGTGCTGAATCCATAGTTAACAATGCATCTCCGCCAGAACCAAGTTTTTCATTAAGATCGTCCATTGCATATTTTAGAATGAACGGGACAGACACATTCAACATTTTGGCAGCAGCCAATAATCCAAGTGCCAATGTTACTCGCTTTCGAATAGTCACATCATCCTAAATATTTATTTAATTTTGTAACTGTTATATTTTAATAACATATTAATTATTATGAATACCAACCTTTGGCCAAATGTATTGCAACATACCCAAGATCATATCTTTACCACTAACAGTATTGGGTTCTATTATAGACAAGTTCTCTTTAATATGTGCTCCACCGACATGATAACATGTCGGAAGTATTGACAGTCTATTAGGAATTCGAAGCTTTTTATGGCGGTTGCAGAGGACATGGTTATGATGTTTATTATATGTAGAAATAGCCTGAAATAATAATATATATAACTTTTGAAAAAATGAACATATTTCACACACGCTAAAATTAAAAAAAAAAAAAGGAAAATATTATTAAAATATATTAGACTCTGTAAAATCTTTTTTTTTAGATATATATAACAGCAATYGTTTATTATTTAGCACATATTATGACTATATTGTAAATTTATCTTTATACACATATGTGTGTATACATGTTAATGGTAAAATAAGTATTCCATATTATAATTTATAGCTTATATATTTTATAATATATAATATAATATAATATAGTATACAAGGTGATTGATTTAYCATAAAACACTCATTATTTCAAAAAGTATTGACTTTTTTCAAAATATTTTCTTACATGATTTCAAGTTGTTAAAAACCCAACGTTTTTGTTAAAAAATTATATTTTTAAAT